CCACTAGTGTCCCCCATATATGTCCCCATAGATGTCCTCCTAGATGTCCCCATAGATGTCCTCCTAGATGTCCCCCATAGATGTCCTCCTAGAGGTCCCCATAGATGTCCTCTTAGATGTCCCCCATAGATGTCCCCATAGATGTCCCCATAGATGTCCTCCCAGATGTCCCCATAGATGTCCTCCTAGAGGTCCCCATAGATGTCCTCTTAGATGTCCCCATAGATGTCCTCTTAGATGTCCACATAGATGTCCCCCATAGATGTCCCCCATAGATGTCCCCATAGATGTCCCCCTAGATGTCCTCCTAGATGTCCCCATAGATCTCATGCTAGATCTCCCCATAGATGTCCTCCTAGATGTCCCCATAGATGTCCTCCTAGATGTCCTCCTAGATGTCCCCATAGATGTCCTCTTAGATGTCCCCATAGATGTCCCCATAGATGTCCTCCTACATGTCCCATAGATGTCCTCCCAGATGTCCCCATAGATGTCCTCCCAGATGTCCCCATAAAGGTCCTCCTAGATGTCCCCATAGATGTCCTCCTAGATGTCCCCCTAGATGTCCCCATAGATGTCCTCCTAGATGTCCCCCTAGATGTCCCCATAGATGTCCTCCTAGATGTCCCCCTAGATGTCCCCATAGATGTCCTCCTAGATGTCCCCCTAGATGTCCCCATAGATGTCCTCCTAGATGTCCCCCTAGATGTCCCCATAGATGTCCTCCTAGATGTCCCCCTAGATGTCCCCATAGATGTCCTCCTAGATGTCCCCCTAGATGTCCCCATAGATGTCCTCCTAGATGTCCCCCTAGATGTCCCCATAGATGTCCTCCTAGATGTCCCCCTAGATGTCCCCATAGATGTCCTCCTAGATGTCCCCCTAGATGTCCCCATAGATGTCCTCCTAGATGTCCCCCTAGATGTCCCCATAGATGTCCTCCTAGATGTCCCCCTAGATGTCCCCATAGATGTCCTCCTAGATGTCCCCCTAGATGTCCCCATAGATGTCCTCCTAGATGTCCCCCTAGATGTCCCCATAGATGTCCTCCTAGATGTCCCCCTAGATGTCCCCATAGATGTCCTCCTAGATGTCCCCCTAGATGTCCCCATAGATGTCCTCCTAGATGTCCCCCTAGATGTCCCCATAGATGTCCTCCTAGATGTCCCCATAAAGGTCCTCCTAGATGTCCCCATAGATGTCCTCCTAGATGTCCCCATAAAGGTCCTCCTAGATGTCCCCATAGATGTCCTCCTAGATGTCCTCCTAGATGTCCTCCTAGATGTCCTCCTAGATGTCCTCCTAGATGTCCCCATAGATGTCCTCCTAGATGTCCCCATAGATGTCCTCCTAGATGTCCCCATAGATGTCCTCCTAGATGTCCCCATAGATGTCCTCCTAGATGTCCCCCTAGATGTACTCCTAGATGTCCCTACCCGGAAGGATTTCATGGGCCACATACAATATTTGAATGCTGACTCTTATGGTAATATATATGGTCGCCGGGATTTCCTTCTTCAGGGCTCAGATGTTGCAGGACTCGTGTCAGCTGTTTTTGGACCCCTGAAACGCGTTGGCTGTGTTGTGAAGAAGTACTAATATTAGGAATTTGGGCCCTTGTTTGGGGCTCTCAGTCCTCGTTGTGTCAGCCGTGTGGCTCCGTTCTTTGGAGGGACATAAACAGTTTGGCCAGTTTTCGGTAGCCGGGAAGTAATGCGGCGGCCATGTTATTACCCAGCATGCACCGTGTGACACTTCTATACCCCGGCACCGGCAGTCTTGTAGCCGGGAAGTAAGTCGGCGGCCATGTTATTACCCAGCATGCACCCTGTGACCCTGGCAGTCTTGTAGCCGGGAAGTAAGTTGGCGGCCATGTTATTACCCAGCATGCACCACGTTACTCTGGCAGTCTTGTAGCCGGGAGGGAAGTCGGCGGCCATGTTATTACCCAGCATGCACCGTGTGACTCTGGCAGTCTTGTAGCCGGGAAGTAGATCGGCGGCCATGTTATTACCCAGCATGCACCGCGTGACTCTGGCAGTCTTGTAGCCGGGAGGGAAGTCGGCAGCCATGTTATTACCCAGCATGCACCGCGTTACTCTGGCAGTCTTGTAGCCGGTAAGTCGGCGGCCATGTTATTACCCAGCATGCACCGCGTGACTCTGGCAGTCTTGTAGCCGGGAAGTAAGTCGGCGGCCATGTTATTACCCAGCATGCACCGTGTGACGCGGGCAGTCTTGTAGCCGGGAAGTAAGTCGGCGGCCATGTTATTACCCAGCATGCACCGCGTGACTCTGGCAGTCTTGTAGCCGGGAAGTAAGTCGGCGGCCATGTTATTACCCAGCATGCACCACGTTACTCTGGCAGTCTTGTAGCCGGGAGGGAAGTCGGCGGCCATGTTATTACCCAGCATGCACCGCGTGACTCTGGCAGTCTTGTAGCCGGGAAGTCGGCGGCCATGTTATTACCCAGCATGCACCGCGTGACTCTGGCAGTCTTGTAGCCGGGAAGTCGGCGGCCATGTTATTACCCAGCATGCACCGCTTTACTCTGGCAGTCTTGTAGCCGGGAGGGAAGTCGGCGGCCATGTTATTACCCAGCATGCACCGCGTGACTCTGGCATCATCCCGCAGACAATACACGCGTCTGGCAGGCGGGAGAGAGATGCCGAGATACACGGGCAGCCGGAGCTGCCAGGAAAATGCTGCTCGCCTGGCTGTCATAGCCCGCGATGATGTCATATATAGTCTTCCGGGAAGTCTAAATGTCGCCGCGAAGCCCGACAGACACCAGAGCCGACCACACACGTTACATTCTGATTGGATGGATCGGCTCTGTCCTCGTACTACACTGTAACTTGTAGGAGGAGCCTCAGACCCCCTGCCATGTTACAGGTCAGACACGCCCCCTTCCCTCACTGAGGGGTGTGGCTGTTACTCCGCTCCGCCAGCAGAGGGCACTGCAGTGTGAGAGCTGGAAGCTGTATTTTCAGTTTGTTATCAGTGGGGCTCCCGGGGGCCTCTGGTGGGGAGGGGCCTCTGATGTGGGGGGGTGGCCTCTGATGGGGGGGGGCGTTGTGGAGGATATAAAAGCGTTGTTTGTGTTCCGTAGAATCTTGAGAAGAAAGAAGAGGAAGTGAGTTCTGAGGAGGAAGAAGAGAACAAGGAGGAGGAGGAAGATCAGGAGGAAGAGGAGGACTATGATGAAGAGGAACACGAGGAGGTGAGAGAAGATTCCCCCCCCCACAGCACAAATATACGAGACACACCCCCTAGATTCATCTCCTGGACGACCGCATGAGGTCACATGTCCTTCCTTCCAAGATCTCTGGGGGAAAAACTTTATTGTTCTGACAAACCTCCCAACATTGTTCAGTGCAGGACATGGAGTATAGAGTGCAGGGGTCAGAGTGCAGGACATGGAGTATAGAGTGCAGGGGTCAGTGTATAGAGTGCAGGGGTCAGAGTGCAGGACATGGAGTATAGAGTGCAGGGGTCAGAGTATAGAGTGCAGGGGTCAGTGTATAGAGTGCAGGGGTCAGAGTATAGAGTGCAGAGTGCAGGGGTCAGTGGTTAGAGTGAAGGGGGCAGAGTTCAGGGGTCGGAGT